ACTTGACTACCAATCATGAAACTGCACCAGTTTTTATATAAACATGACTAATCCTTCCATTGATCCATTTTGCCATGTCTTTTCTAGTGTATTGATAGGCATATTTGTACTGTTCTCTTTGTAAATGACCATGCTACTTTGTGTCCTTATACTAACTGTATTAATTTACATTTTAGAAATCGATCGTAATTGTTGGCCGTATACATAATTGTCGGTTTTGATGATAGCCTTGCTAAGACACTATATGCAACAGTCTAGGGACTTATTCAGGAAATTCATCTGCTGGCAGAATAAATCTCACATTACGTATAAAACAAATATCAAGGATTGTCTGAATACTAGTCACACCAAGTATTAAATCTAAGGAATTTTGAAATGTAGATCACCAGATTCTGACTTAATATTATTGCTGTGTCCGTGTATATAAACCAGATTTCTTGTTTAATAACTTTTGGGGTATGTGTGACCAAGCTGTATGACAGAAGAGCAACTGTGTTGAACTAGTCCTACGATTTTCTTAATCCTCCTAGACTATCTATTTAGTACTACTGACTTTTAGCTAACCACAACACAGCAGACAATTACACATAATGACTATTAGTCCAGAATGTAGTTCCCAATGCTTGACCGCCTGATAGCCAGAATATATCACAACTCTGTAGATGGCGTCGAGTCACGATTGACTATGATCACCACTACAGGAAGGTTGCGTACCAGGTATCGAATTGGATCCCTCGATAAGCCCAAAACCAGAGTGCTGTTGACAGTTGAAATAATATATATTTGTTAACGATTTTGTGGTATCGAAAGAATACTGAGACGTGCCAAAGTTTACAAGTGGGACTGCCGAACGTACTGAAGTCCGTGCAAGGTCACAGGAAACGGAAGGAAAAGTGTGTCTTTGGTACACTTAAACAAACAAGTACAGTAAAACAATCACTGGTACAATTAGTTATAATAATAATTGTTTCCATTATACCAATCGCGTTCTCGTCACAAAAGTAGGTCACTACAACTCAGTACGCAGATAACATCTAATTATGCATACAACAATGTGGAGCAAAAACTTAACCGCTCATCAATATAGTTAAGAAATTTACAATGTGGCACTAATACGTCGCAAGTGAAAGCGGACTGAGTAATTGGTTCATAATATAATAATGATAAACCGGGAAAGATAAAACACAGCAGTAGTTCATACGTCGATCTAAAGCTTATAAGCCAAAGAATATAAATACAAAATGGTTTAAGTATTTAACAACTACACATTTAGAGAAAACATAGACAGTAACTTCAGATTGGACTATTTCGAAAGTTCAACTTCCTTAATACTTGTCTAACATAGAAGATATAGAGCTATAATAGTCGCTGGAACATCTAATCGTCTACAGTTTGTGGTGACCTGCTTTTCTTGATGAGAACGCGATTGGTATAATGGAAACAATTTTTATTATAACCAATTGTACCAGTGATTGTTTTACTGTACTCGTTGTTGTTTAACTGTACCCAAATCATTTCACGTTCCGTTGTCCATCTTGTTCGTTCGGACGTTCTTACACTCTGCTCTTTTTGCCTGTAATCTTTGGCGCGTCTCGGTATTCTTTCGATACCACGAGATCGCCAATAAATATACTTTATTTGGACTAATTACAGCCTTCTGGTTTACGAGCTAGAGAAGGAACCAAGCCGTTTTTGGGCGCGTAATCTTAATGTAGTGGTGATCATAGTCTATCGATATTCGACGCCATCTACAAGTTCAATCTTTGAAATTGTCATACGGATGAACTTGTCGATAGCCTCAAAGTAAAACATAACAGATATTCACTACTCTTATTTTCAATATCTCTTCAGTTGATCTCAACATAAGATGTAAATTTATTTGAAACAAGTCCCTTAATTTACATATAACCAACAAAAGAAATTGATTAAAACAAACAGTTTTTATTAACCCATTATTTCTAACATTATCTTGATACAACTTGTTACATCTTTGATCTGTCTACCCACTTCTATGCAGAGGATAACATGTCTAATCTAGATTAAGCCTTTGACTTAATAGGCTAGCTGTCTCTTGAGGTTAGTATGCGTGAGTTTGAAATGAGACTAACTAATTGGGGTAGAGAGACGAAAACTATTCTATCACCTGATTGGCTGACAAGCATGCGAAAAAGAGAAGACAAATCAACTTGGACACTACTTGATTTATTCCGATTTGATCCCTGATTTCAGATTAGTGTAAAAAGGTACATGAATAAACAGATGACTAACCAAAATCAATTAGGAAAATACAATTATGTCCAAAACTGGGGGATTGTAGTAGAAAATAGAGTACAAAAGATTACGTCTAAATTACAATAGCTTTGGAACAGGAAAAGCTATGGTAGTGAATCATACATAAAACGAAAGCTTATGATCTGTAAAAAAGATTAGGGACAAAGGTAAATGTTACTATTTTACAAGCTTTGAATGAAATGAAATAACATCCCCCAAAATAGTTACCATAGTTTGTCTAGACTTCTTGCTTCTGCGTTCGCATCACAACACCATACGAAAATTTTAAGTTTTGATTATCATATTATCACAATCTCATGACTATACTAATGCTAATTACTATCCGTCACTTTTATAATTAAAAGTTCATTCTATTTACTTACTTACTTACGCCTGTTACTCCCAATAAAGCATAGGCCACCGACTAGCATTCTTCAACTCACTCTGTCCTGGGACTTCCTTTCAAGTTCTATCCAACTGTTGTTCATTCTTCTCATGTCTGTCTCCATTTCTCGAGGTAATGTGTTCTTTGATCTTCCTCTTCTTCTCTGGCCTTCAGGATTCCATGTGAGTGCTTACCTCATATCTCATATGTTCCCTTATTCCAATTTGTTTCAAACCTTCATAATCAAACTAATTTAGACGCTTTCAATTTATCTCTTTCCAGTATGAACAATAACTTCAAACTAAACTTAAACAACTATATTTACTTAATGAATATAAATATTGTCTAAATAAAAATGTGGTTTACGAGGTGTCCGTTGGTTCAGAAGTCTATGTGCGTCATGCTAACCAACTGAAATCAGCCTCGATTGCCAACAACAAAACGCAGCATAGATTACCTCTTGATGTTTTGCTAGACACATTTGAGATCAAAACACATGAAACCGTCAGGACAGTTACTGTGCAAACGAAGGATGATACAACGTCCTTATTACCTGGAAGGTGGATAAACCGGAAGCTCAAACCAGTAAAGCGGTCGCAGGTGAACCCTAATACCAGATCCTACGAATCTGCTCAAAGGGGAGGTGTTAACAGGCTATAAACTGGATTAAGGCACTTATTTGCATGATCGTGACGGCACACGCTGATTGGCTAATTCTAAACCAATCAGCTCTAGAAGATTATTGGAGAAACATCTAGAAACTTCTTATGCATATACTATAAATATATGAACGCTTTTCTAACCATTGATTACTGTTCACCTACTCTTGTTATTTTGAATACAATTTCGTCCCTGTTCAACGTGTTCTGATTTTGGGGGGTCTTGTTGAGTGTCATTGTATAAGAATACTAAGCAATAGGAGTGTCTGGGTCATTTATTAGCAAAACAAATTATGGTATTGCCCCATCCATGTCAGCTTTCTATACATAGAACGTTGAATGGAACCATCTTCTCTCCTACTGATCAGTATATCTAGAAAAAGAAAGTTGGTTGTTCTTCTCTTCTTCGCACGTAAGAGAAATATGCTTCTGACTTGTATTGACTAGTATTTCTGGCGGATGTGTTTATGGGGTATGTTGGAAATTTAGCTAAAAACTGAATTCAAAAGATTTGTCTGTATAAACAATACGTTGATGACATCATAATTATAGGGGATAAATGTGAAGATGTGAACCGCTTGTTAAAATAACTCAATACAAATCAGAAGCATATTTCTCTTACGTGAGAAGAAGAGAAGAACAACCAACTTCCTTTTCTAGATATACTAATCAGTAGGAGAGAAGATGGTTCCATCCAACGTTCTATATATAGAAAATAAATTATAACAACAAACAAACAGATAACATTCACTTGGTATTGTTTGTTTGGATCTTCCCATCGATGTGAAGCGAGTGTACTGGGTTCGAGTCCCAGAGTGAACATCAACTCTGAGATGCAGGTACATCCAGCTGACGAGCCCCAAATAGGACGAAACGCGCGTCCTGGATTCCACTGCTAGCCACTATCCATCTCTGCTTAAACAGATAACATGCTTAGAGAAATCAATCATAAACAAAGAATAATAATAATTACTATTATTAATGGCTTTATTCAATATTACATTTTTGGTACAATATAGAATTCTTAGCACAAACTATTTCAACAAGTTTCTCATTTCTTATTACTTGATCAATTCTTCAGATAAACATTGGATGGTCGCCAGTTAGATGTTAGTAATTCAAGAATCGGCATCTGAATAATGTATATTCTTTTCAATGTATATTGCCAGCAACCACGATGTCTCTGATTGGACTTTCTTTTGTGAATTGTACAGAGAAAGGTCATGAACTTTACATAAATGCACCTAGTTAAGTTATAAGACTAATAAGCATAATGATGTAATTAAAACAGAGGGTTTTTTTTTTGAGAATTTAGTATTCTCATAGTTGAAATTATGAGTCAATTGAAACTAGACCATCATGGAAAACCTGAAAGCACTGGACGGCCGTTTCGTCCTATTATGGGACTCCTCAGTGGTAGTGCGTATCCACGATCCCGCCTCGCGAGCGAGATTCGAACCCAGGACCTACCAGTCTCATAATAGGATGAAACGATCGTCCAGTGCTTCCAGGTTTTCCATGATGGTCTAGTTTCAATTGACTCATGATTTCAATTATGAAAGTAATTAAAACAAACAAACAAAAAAACTTATCAAAACATCACCATGGCAACAAAAACCAATTAGGTCAAATATTCAAATAGGTCACTTGTCAACAAACAAACAAAAATTTTTTTAAAAATCTATTTACAATTTAATATCATATGATGTTGGTAAATATATAAGAAATACAAAAATGGATATTATTGTTGTCAATAAATATATTTGAAATAATAATCTATCTACTACTCTAGCAATATATAACCAACGGGTAATATTGATTTCATTTAAATATTGATTATTGAAAAATAATTTTTCATTATATTGATTATTATTATTGTTATTATTATTAGTGGTGGTGGTGGTAGGAGAAAGAGGAGGAGGGGGAGGAAGAAGAGGAGGGCTATCAATCACAATATCATTCGTGTTACCTAGGCGTTTACTTAGATCAAAAGTTCTTTCATCCCGCGTACTTCTTTGATGATCTAATGTATATAGGTCATATGAATTATCCTTTAAGGAAGTTTTGAACTGATCATTATCTATGTAATCATTATTATCATTATTATTATGGTTAGTAGTAGTAGTAGTAGTATTAGTAGTATATTGATTCATATTTTGATATGGTATCATAGCTAAATAACCAAATATATTAGTAATAAGATACCATAATAATGGATGAGGTGTTGGACATGGTTCATTTTTACTACGTATATGTATATGTAATACTATTGTAGCAAATATTAATGATATAGAATTTAATGTCATAACCATTGTAAGAAATGTACCAATTAATGGTGTAGAATTTGATTCTGGGGTATTCTCTGCAATCATTACCTGTGAAACAAGAAAAAAACAGAAACGAAACAACGTTTGAAAGCACAGATGTCACTTTAGCAAACAGCCTAAGCAATGAGATGGTGGAGAAGATTTGTAGTTCAGTTAGATGATTTCGATGGAGTTTTGTTCTTTGAGATGGATGGTTTAGTCTTAGAGTTTTCATCGTTATACTGAATAATACCATCAGTACAAACTTCAGGAGGAAGTGAATTGTTCAAATATCACTTCAATTCTACTTCGAACTTTGTGCTGATGATATCGTTTAGAATGATAATGAAAGCTCTACAACCAAACTACCCAGCCCAGAGAAACCTTAGGTGATAATCATTCTCTTTAATGACTTAAACCATTAAACTTAATTTTACTGTACAAAAAGTAGACAGTTATACAGTATCCATATTTGTATTTTGAAAAGGAAGAGAACAGAATTTCTCCACAGCTATTTATATCTTTACTAAACTACACTTACCTGTAAAAAAAACAAACCTAACAGAATGATATAAATAGTGAAACTATAAAAAAGGAAAGTAACCATGGTATATACATCCGGTGGTGTGTACATTGAATAAGATGTACAGCTTAAATGAGAAACTTTTTGTTGTTGTTCTGAATAAGACTTCATGGTAATATCAACGCGATCCGTTCATAATGTAAATATACTTAAAATGAGATGGATTAACCATAGTCCGGATATATTTAACGACACGGTTGTACTGTGGTGTATGCTACTGATGTCGATAGATATAACTAGTACGTATCAACAATCAAAAGTGAAATATCTAGCGGTAAAACGTTAAGAAGACCAAATAATAGAGAACGAGAACAGAGAATGATTGGTGTGCAAACGAAAGAACAATGAAGTCTTAGACGATTCATTGACATTTTTGCAGAAGTAACAGTCAAGTTTGACACAATTAACTGTATGGTTCTTAGATTTCACTAAGATCTGATATAATATATTTAAGTCCTAGTTGTTTCATCTTCAATTTTGTTAGGCAAAATTATAGACTTCCTGTTTCCACAGTCATCAATTCGAATTAGTAGATGAGAATTGGAAAAGTAAGGGAAGCATTTCTACAATTGAAGAACATATGGAACTCAAAACAACTCTCAACTAATTTCAAAGTGAGAATCTTCAATACAAACGTCAAGACAGTCCTACTGTATGGAGCTGAAACATGGAGAACTACTACATCCATCATCAAGAAAGTACAAGTATTTATAAACAGTTGTTTACGCAAGATACTCAACATTCACTGGCCGGATACTATCAGCAACAACGTTTTATGGGAGAGGACAAACCAGCTTTCAGCTGAAGAGGAAATTAGGAAAAGACGTTGGTAGTGGATAGGACACATAATGAGGAAATCACCAAACTGCATCACGAGACAATCCCTAACTTGGAATCCGGAAGGGAAGCGGAAAAGAAGAAGGCCAAAGAACACATTATGCCGGGAAATAGAAGCAGATATGAAGAGGATGAATGTTAACTGGAAAGGAAGGCCCAGGACAAAGTTGGATGAAGAATGATGGTGAGCGGCCTATGCTCCTCGACGAAGGGTAACAGGCGTAAGTAAGTAAGTAAGATGAGAAATAATAAAAAGGGTATAAGATTAGTCACAAAATAAAGATATGAAAATTCTTAGAAAAATACAATTAAACAATGAAGTGACAGAAATGATGTTTCATTTAAGCCAGTTAGATCAACATTAACTGAAATCAACGAACCTGTCCAATCATAGATTACAACTGTTATAAATCCCAGGATAAAGAGATCTGTATCTGCAAACATTGTTTAGATGATTAGTTAGTTATTTCATAGACTGATGACATATTTTGAGCTCTTCGTTTCTAGCTTCTTCTGTGTCAGCATTAAATATTAGGATGGGCTGGGTCTAGACATTCTTTACTACTTCAGTTGATGAATGGTCTTTAACCTTACTAATCATTTTTCTATCTTTATCTAATACTATATCCCTTACTACAGTATTGTTATATCCCCTGGTGAATTATGAATGGTAACTCTGGGGTCTATTTATGGACCAATGTAATATGTAAATTTCCTATTGTATAATTGTTAAGTAATTAAACTAATCGTCTTCGTGTTCCTCTTATCATTAGCTTTATTTTGACCTTTGAACTATTATTATACGATTCTTGAGTTATCATCAATCTATTGATTACTTTCCCCCTATTCACAGCCACATTTGGCCAAATCTTGTACAAATATTATTTTTTATTTTATGGTACGATGTGGTCTAACTGAGTAGGACGAAACGCGCGTCCTGGATTCCACTGCTAGTCACTATCCATCTTTGCTTACCATGCATGTGAACTAAGGCAATATCGAGGCAATACGCACAGTATGCACATATGCCAATTAGAGACTGACCAGTTGCAGTCCTAACACATCGATGGGAAGATTCAAATGAACAATACTAAATGAATATAAACCCAGTATGTTTGAGAATAATGATTCATATTACAGAGGTTGTTATTGGTGTTCTGGATTTAACTGTCTGGGATAAACGGAAAGCAGGACTGATAAGTACTCAAAACGGCTAATACAGCTTTTTGTGTATCATTGCTCCGATCGATAATTCACTCTTCTCTTATTGGAGGTCTTAGCATGTTCATATATCAAACGGGGCACACGTACGCATTTATACGTTATAACAACTGACGACAGGGATGGGCTCACTATGCATGATTAGTGTATCAAAAACATCTATAACCGATTGTTTACAGTCTACTCATATTTTCTACTTTCATTGATTATATTTCATAAATATAAATTAATACAGAACAGGTTACTGTATAGTCTAATCTCTCCTTCATTGGCAGATCAATAAAAGCATTTAAATATTTAATTGTTGTAGGTACCAATCAACTGATAAAGATTTTGTTCATGAAGTGCATTGCCTTCTAGGAAATACGGAGAGATTACAACTTGTGGATATGATTAACTGTTATGTTAGACTCCATGATTAATTCTGACCAAATAGTTTAATAATCATTCTAATACAAAGTACTTAATAGTATATAGTTGAAATCACGAGTCAATTGAAGCTAGACCAACATGGAAAACCAGGAAGCACTGGATGGCCGTTTCGTCTTATTGTGGGACTCCTCAGCAGTGCGCGTCTCCACAAACAACCCCCTTATCATATGCTAACTAGTGACTGGCTTCAAGGGATGTTTACTTGAGTTTTAGTGGGAAGCATTGACCAGTGGAGTTCAACCAAGTCTGTTGTAGAGATGTCAACTCATTGAAGACAATGATGGACGGTTTCACAATTTTGTGAATTGGTTGAAGTTAAACATTAACACCGTTGGATGCCAGCCGGCTCAGTGGTCTGTCGGTTAAGTACTCTGGCGCGAGATTGTTAGGTCCTGGGTTCGAATCTCGCGAATGCGAGATCGTGGATGAGCACTGCTGAGGAGTCCCACAATAGGATGAAACGGCTGTCCAGTGCTTCCAGGTTTTCCATGATAGTCTAGCTTCAATTGATTCATGATTTCAACTATACATAAAAATTACTTTAAAATCTCTACAAACAACCCCCTACTTAATAGTAGTATAGTGATACTTTAAAAAAAAAAATCAAATTTATTAATTACTTGTAGAAAGTATAAAAATAGGAATACTGTTAATCCTATATCGATTTTTTTTACATTTCCACTTGGTAACCAAAAACTGAATACTGTTAGTATACATAGTAATATACTTGGTGCAATCACTGTATAAGCATAGAATACAGTACGTCTGTAAATATGTATTCGTAAGTTAATCTACAAAAAAAAAAGAAAAAAAAAAGTAGAATCAGAATATATATACAAAGTATTGAATTATCAACAGTATGTATATGTATGATTTGAAATTCTAATGTGAAATTGACCGATCAGAAAGTGTAATAGTGCCTTAACAATGATGATCATTCTAATATATGGTAAAATGTATGAAGTTGATGCTTTTAGATGAACTAGATACTTACCTAGGTGTTTGAATGATCTCATGTTTGGTGCAAGATTTGAGACTCCTGGGAGTACAAGGGTAAATCTCAAGCTATCTGGAAATAGAAAGTCAATATTTCCCTGATTTTCAGTGATTCCCTACCTAGTATTGATCTATCATTGGAATAATAATACAGCTGACAAGTCCGAGTTAGTATGATAAGCAAAATCTCGATTCCTTCGATAACGTATTAACAAATCTTTATTAGTTATGATAAAGATTCATGTTTAGCTCTTTGAAAAATTTTGCTTGAAGCCAAGTAAATTATCGAAAGTACTTTGACTAATCAATTCTCTCCGGAAAAGTTTGAATCTGACTGAGTAACTGGCAAATTCGTTACTAATTTTAATATGCTTTCTCAAATCTGATGAAATCTGACTATCACACATAATCTTATTATTTCAACACATATATATTACTACAAGGGGGCACCAGATATATATGCACCACACAACAATTGCCATTTCAATTTAATTGTTTGGGGGCTATGATACTCTCTGGGTGCCCAGACCGAAGCAGGTGGTTTTCTGTGGGGGGTCACACCCCTACAACTTCTTTCATATTTTCTGCTTTCGTTTTATGTTTCAAGTTCAAATACAGAAGAATATCAAAATGTAGGAAGTCAATATTGAAATATTTAATGTATTAGGCTCACCAATTATTCAAATATGAAAACAAAAAACAGTTAGTCCCTATTCACTTTAGTATTGTTTGTTTGAATCTTCCCATTGATGCTTAGGATTGAAACTGGTCAGTCTCTTATTGGCCATACTGTGCATACTGTGCGTATTGCCTCGATATTGCCTTAATTCACAAGCATTATAAGCAAAGATGGATGGCATAAGCAAGTGGCTATCAGGACTCAGTAGGTAAGTGGATAACGCGATGGCGTTTGAAGCAAACGGTACTGGGTTCAAGTCCTAGAGTGAACATCAACTCTGAGATGCAGGTACATGCAACTGACGAGTCCCAAATAGGACGAAACTGAATTCCACTGCTAGCCACTATCCATTTTTGCTTATAATGCTCGTGAACTAAGTTAATCCCCAAAATAAATTTGAACAATGCGGTGTGAAGATCAAGGTTATCAAAATGACGTAATATATAGTTGCCAGGTACATTTTGAACAATCTGATCATTCAATCAGACAAATTAAGAGGTAAGGGGGAAACAAAGATAATAACAATTGTTACGTCTCGCCGATTGCGAACGCTATATTCGCTTCCCTAAGCTAGTTCCGTACCCCCGAGCTAGAACTATACACCGACTTGAAGACCAGAAAAAAGGTACAAAGTGTGAGGGAAGCACTTTGCTACAGGGTTCCTTTATGTACAGAAAATACAGGGATTTTATAGTAATCTAAGAGACCTTGAGTTTTACCGAAAGTTCTAGAATACTGCTAAACATAGTAGCAGTATATTAATCAGCCAATCAGGATCTCCACATGTGACTTTTTCATCCTCGTTATTTTAGTAACATAACTTCACATTACTTCTAATTAATCGCTGATTGGTTGAAATGCTCCTTGATGACCCCTGAGCTTGTTATGTCACTTGCGAGAAAAATGCAAGGTTATCCCAACAACAATGAAGTACATAACATGAAGAACAATATGCGAACCGCATAGGATAATAAATTACTGTTTCCAGGGTACGTTAAAAGTAAGCCAAAGCTTGAATAAACCTTAGTATACGTCCTTGAACACTTTTGTACAAAACTAAACAAACGGCTGACTTGATATCAACCTTATAACTGGTCTCAATCAAATATTTGTCAATAGATGAAGATATTTGTATATCATGTGATCTTATTTGACCGTTGTAATCTATTTGATTTTTCAGTCATTTAGGTATGTGTACATTTACCCTTATTTTCAGCTGACGATTTCTCTTCCCTATGTAAGTGTTGCCCCAGATATATGTAAATTGATAGATGTAATGGGATGTGATACAATTGTTTATATGCTGTTTACGTTTTTGGTGAAACATTGACCTTGACTTTTCTATAACGATGAGTTTGGGTGCAAAAAATGTCTTATCAATTGTTAATATCAATCTTCATTTCAATGTTTTTTTCCCTAACTTGGAATCCGGAAGGGAACCAGGAAAGACAAAGGCCAAAAAACACATTACGCCGAGACTAGGATAACAATAATAATAAAAATAATGTGAAAACAATTTGAAACCTAATCACTATGGTTAATAAGCTATTATTAACAGGTGAGAACAAACTGTTTTTGAATATACAAAGGGGGTTTGAATTTTAGTATGGCTAAGGCTTCAATAAACCTTAGTATACGCCTTTTATAAAACTTTTATACAACACCACAGAAGCCGAGGTAAGATCAATCTTACGGTCTGTTTCGATTATATGTCTGACAATGTGGTTTGCATATTGTTCTTCATGTTATGTTCTTTATTGTTATCATCTTTTTTCATAGTTGAAATCATGAATCAATTGAAGCTAGACCACTATGGAAAACTTGAAAGCACTGCTTGACGGCCGTTTCGTCCTATTATATAACTCCTCAGTGGCAGTGCTCATTCACGATCCCGCCTTACGAGCAAGATTCTAACCCAGTACCTACCAATCTCGCGCGCGAGCACTTAACCTCTAGACCACTGAGCTGGTCTTCCATTGCTTCCAAGTTTTCCATGATGGTCTAACTTCAATTGACTAACACTGTCAACTATATATATTACATCATTCTGATAACCTTTATCTTCACACCACCTTATTCAAATATAAATGATATTATATTACTTAAATAAACTTACTTGAGTAATATTTTGTCCACCAACAGTAATACGATAATTTTGAAAAATTTTTAATTCTGGTACAGCTAATTCAACATTTTCAATTAATTTATTTAATATATTAGTTATATTCATTGGTATAATATTTAATTGTAATTGACTTTGATCATATGTCCATGATGCTAATTGTATATTACATAATTGATGATCAAATGGAAAATATAATACATCTATATTACATGAACTACGTATACTAACTGGTAAATTCCATGTTACTTCACCTAGAGAAAAGAAAAAAGTTAGGAATGAAATAATTGATGAGTCGATTAAAGCTAGACCATCATGAGAAACTTGAAATTATTGAACAATCATTTCGTCCTAGTATGAGATGCCGAGTGGATAACGCGATGGCGTTTAAAGCGAAATGTACTAGGTTCGAGTTCCTCCCAGAGTCAACATCAACTCTGAAATGTGGTAGGTACATCCAGCTGACGAGTCCCAAATAGGACGAAAGGTGTATCAAACTGGATTCCACTACTAGCCACTATCCATCTTTACTTACCATGCTTGTGAATTGTTGAGATTGTTGATGGGCAGTGAGCATTCACGATCTTGTACAATTGACTGGAACTCAAGATCTTCGATCTCGCGCGCGATCATTTGATCTGTAGACCACTAAGCCGATATCCAATGGTGTTAATGTCTAAATTCAACTAATCCACGGTATTGCGCGAGCATCTACCATTATCTTTAGTGAGTAACTGCCCCTCCTGTGTGCGATCGTGGATGCGCTCTATTGAGGAGTCCAATAAGAGAACGAAACAGCATTCCAGTACTTACAAGTTTTCCATGGTGGTCTAGCTTTTATTGATTCATGAATTCAACTATTAAATTACTACAATATCCACAAAACCGCATTCTGATAGGAATGAAATAGTTTGGAAAAAGTGTTATGAAATAACATTAATTATTGAACAATTGAGAACTAAGAAATAATGGATAAACGTTCATATGATTTTGAGATGGTGGTTAAGATTTGTAGCTCAGGTGGATGATTTTGATGGAGTTTTTTTTTCTGAGCTAGATGGTTTGGTCGTGTAGCTTTCATCATCCTTCTGAACGACATCATCACCACAAACTTCGAGTAGAAGTGAAGTGTTTGAATTTCTCCACATAAGGTTCACTTCTATCCTAAGTTTATGCTGATAATGTCGTTCAGAATGACGATGAAAGCTCCACGACGAAACCATCCAGCTCAGAGAACAAAATTCCATCAAAATAATGAATAAACAGTTCACTATAGATTTGGTACTTATTCGAAATACATGCCCAAGATATGGTACATGGATTTAATAGTAACAGGAAGTAACCGCCTTGATACTAACATGAATGAATTCCATCAATCAAGGGTTTCATGTAACACTTAAAGGATCCTTTAATAATCCATTCACTATTTGATTTACGATTGTTGTATATAGGTAAACAAGGGAAAAATAAATTCGTGGATTAATTGGAGTTAGACATTAACATCATCGGATGCCAGCTCACTGGTCTATCAGTCAAGTGCTCTGGAGCGAGACTGGTAGGTCCTGGGTTCGAATCTCGCGAGGTAGGGTCCTCAGGGTCGCTGAGGAGTCCCACAATAGGACGGAACGGCCATACAGTGCTTCCAGGCTTTCCCTGGTGATCTAGCTTCAATTGACTCACTCTTTCAACTATGAAAAATAAATTGTTTTAATCATGTAACCATTTTAATTTTGATTTTACTCAACTGATTAGGTGGTCTTATGAATGACTTGAACTTATTATTTTATCCTGAATAATTGATAAATTGATATTATGTTAGCATTGCCATCATTTTCTGGAGAGCTGTTATCCAAAGTTTGTGGAATTCCCTCAATCCAATAGCTTCTAAGGTTCAAACATTACTGTTAATCAAATCGTACTTCAAAAACACTACATCATATCATTAGAGCAAGATGAAATTATCAAAACAAATTCCAGTGCAGTAGAACCACCGATAGTATTACTGGTAGTAGAAAACATTAAGCATATGGAAAATGATTCGAGAAAAGTGGATTCTTCGAATAACAGGTATAAATTAATGCTGAATTATAGTCACTTCAGTTTCACATCACTCAGTGTACTCAACCATTGGTTAAGATAATCATGCTGACCTTAACCAGGTAGTCTCCATCTGCCTAAATGACCTCGTTTAACATTCATGGGCTGATGACATATCTTAGTCTGACCGCCTCCACTCCACTTCCGACTTACTCCTACACCGACTAGTATCATGTGCTAAGGTGGTTGGTGGTTGAACATACATAATACACATAACAAAGAACTCAACTAATCAAAATTTCACAATCTCATAAGCCGATTTATCATCTTTACCTGTTACCCTGTGTCTAACATCAACATTGCTAAATTAATACACTTAAAATAAGTCAGTAATGTTTAGAATGCATCTATATATATCACACGATAGTAATACTTCTATGCAATATACCCGTTCTTTGGCTGAAAAATGGGGATTTCACCTACAACACAAGTGAAATAACTTGGTAAATGCCAACTGATCTTTCTGAATAAGTGGCGAAATTTCACTAGTTACCAACTCATTAGGGGTGATAAAACTTCTAAGATAAGTAAAGTAGTCAACGAGCTCATCTATTTTACTCCCTATGTTCAGTCTAGGCGACGATGCAGATCAGTCCTGAGGCAACACTTTGTATTCAGAAGCAGCGAAACTCATACTAAATACTCTTACATTATTACTCAAAACGATTAGAAGATTCTGGATTTTATTACTGTCTTCATTAAACAAATCTATGTCATTCACAAATACTAATTCAATAAGTGAATCCCCTTGTAAGAGAACTATCCAATAAAGAGTCAGTCGACGGGAGTGATACCTCAAAAAGAATGTCTGTAGTGTAGCTTGGATTAAAGTTAGGAAGATTTACCACATTACTGAGAATTTAAAACTTATGAATAATGGCACTCATCGAAAATCATTTTAATTACGAATCATTATATGTTAAGTTTGTGGTGTGAAGTAACAGTTTCGTCTTAAAACCAAAAGATCATAAGTTTGAATCCTGGTGGTGGGGAGGGTATATGCGTGAATACTGCTAAGAATTTCTTTACTCAAAAAATAGCCATGTACCGTTCATACATCGCTAGGATATCAACTTAAAAAGAACTAATAGTTCCTGGCTGATGCCTTTCATTGCAATGATACATGTGAAAAAAGCATACTACCTAAACAATTTTTTGAACTAGAAAACTTAAAACAGTCTTATATCATATAAATGTTTTCTACATTTAATATTACTGTGACATGTGCTACTGATATCAAAAAGATATAAGTAGTACGTATCATCAGTTGAAAGTGAAATACCTGGAGGCAGAAGATTAAAAAGATTGAAGAGAAAAGAAAGAAAACAAAGAGTAATTGATATAAAAATGAGATCCACTGGTGAATATGAGCTCCAGTACTCTGAGGAAACAAATGGCGTATGAATCAATCGTCGGTTATCGGTTACCATGAGACTGAATCTCCTCACGATGCTCCACTGCCTTGTGGATCAGACCTTCAGGTCAAAGGGTCCGGGTGTGGCCTCCTAAGAAAACCACCTACTTCAGTCTGGGCACCTGGGCAGTATCACAGCCCTCACACAAATCAAACGATATTTGTGTGGCACATATGCATCTGGTGCTTCCTTGCACCAATATTTATGTGTTTAAATAAATAAACCTGGAAAGTAAATAATCAATAGATGGTATATCAATCGTTTATTTATTGAATGAATCCTAAAAAAAATGTTTATTCTGTTGATAAACATTTTGTAAATAAGTGTATCATTTTGTTAGAAATATGCCACATTACCAAGGGAAGATAATAACAGACACTTAGTTTGTCAAAGTGAATGAATGACCAAAAAGATGGAAGGATAGTAATAACACTCATGATCAAATGGATCTACATCCTAAGAGATATTTAGGTGGAAAACGGCGGTGAACAGTTCAATTCCAAAGGAACCTAAGAGAATTAATTTATTACAGGGAGAGGTATTGGGTAATTAAAATCTTAACATTCATATAATGATTTCCATCCAGTTGAATTTCAGTCTACTTTAATCTGTTGAAAGCATGAGTCAATTGAAGCTAGACTGCCAGGACTGCAATTGACCAGTCTCTTATTGACATATGTGTATACTGTGTGTATTACCTCGATATTGCCTTAAATAACAAGCATTATAAGCAGAAATAGATGGTGGCTAACAGTAGAATCCAGGATGCTCACTTCGTTTTATTTGGGACTCGTCAGTTGGATGTACCTGCATCTCAGTGTTGATGTTCACTCGGAGACTAAGACTAATTTTCAATGAATTCGAATGTAGAATAATTCTTATACAGTCTCTAATAATAAAACATATAAACAAGTTTTAACTTCTACCTTCCGTATGAGAGCAGGGAATAAAATGAAGAAAGTAGTCTTGTCTATCATCATTGAAGTTGAAGTTGTAAATGATTAGCTTGATGCACAGCTATGTCAATAATCCATTACAGTTCCATGGACAGGTCCATAGATATACACAAAGCAAGAATAGTAGTTTATGTATTATTTACAAATGAGAAGAAAGTTATTGCATGCAATCAGGTAGACTTTGTTCTTCCCAAGATATATAAATGAAATGTTGCTCTTATCTAACGATATAAGTCAAGTCATTTACTTACTCGAAATGTTTAATAAAGCTCACCATAAAATCAAATTTAACATAAATAATAAAAGAAACAAGAAAGCAAGTAACATTTTTAGGATCCAGGTATCTCATAAAAAAACTGACGAGAGCAGATTAAATGGAAAGAGACTTACAATGGATCATATGTTAAGTTTTATAGCTTTCGTTAGATAATATATGAGTCTCCGATACAATACAACATGCACCAATCGAATTACACTTGACGGAGAAGCTTTGGAGGATGTGGAAACCTCTACATATCTGGGTGGCATCATTGATGAACACGGTGGATCTGATGCAGATGTAAGAGCGAGGATTGGCAAAGCAAGAGCAGCATATTTACAAATGAAGAACATCTGGAACTCAAAACAATTTTCAGCCAACACCAAGATCAGAATTTTCAATACAAATATCAAGACAGTTCTACTGTATGGGGCGAAGACAAGAAGAACTACGAAAGCCATCATCCAGAAGATACAGGTGTTTATAAACAGTTGTCTACGCAAGATACTTAGGATCCGTTAGCCAAGCACTATCAGCAACAACCTACTGTGGTAGAAAACAAACCAGATTTCAGAGGAGGAACAAATCAGGAAGAATCGCTGAAAGTGGATAGGACACACATTGAGGAAATCACCCAACTGTGTCACAAGACAAGCTCTAACATGGAATCCTGAAGGCCAAAGGAGAAGAAGAAGACCAAAGAACACACACATCGAAGACAGATATGAGATAAATGAACAAGAATTGGATAGAACTACAAAGGAATGCCCAGGACAGAGTGGGTTGGAGAATGCTGGTCAGCGGCCTATGTTCCATTGGAAGTAACAGGCGAAAGTAAGTAAGTAAGAATGGACGACATTATTCTATCACAAAACTAGAGAGTTCTGCTCAACCGAGAAACTCAAAGAATACGAGTGTATCTGAAAGTTGATAAACTCATCAAGAAACATACATTCATTCAACTGATATATAAATGTAATCAAATGATAATGGAAAATAATCAATGACTGAATACATCTTTGAATTGTATGTTACATATATATCCATCACAATATTCAATAACCTAAACAGATACGTGCAGATATCCACGGATTAAATTTATTCTTAGTAGAACTATTTTATACTGATGGTTTTACATGAACCAACTAGAATTAAGAAATTTCTCTTCCGGTTATTCCCCGAAATTCAATGTGCAGTAAAAGATAGCATATATCTTTGGTTAAGGAAAAATTGTCGATATTCAGTCGCTAAAGTACCTAAAATTGATTTTAAAAATGTAACTCTACAGTGAATTTTATATAGCGCCTAAGTTAAATCACAAGAAATATCTGCACCTGGTATAGATTATCCATGAGAGTACTTAATGCGATTCAGTGAATTGTCAAAAATGTTTGTTTTGCTAAAAATTATTCTCTCACACTGACTCTTAGCTTCAAATTTCAACCCTTACTTTTATAAAAGATGGATAGTAGCTAGCAGTGGAATGCAGGACACGTTTCGACGTATTTGGGACTGGTCAGTTGGATGAAGTGCATCTCGGAATTGATGTTCACTGTGGGACTGCAACCCAGTACCGTTCGCTTCAAACGCCATCACGTTATCTATCCGCATAGGATGCACATATGCCAACAAGTGACTGATCAATTGCAGTCCAAAGTAACAATGGGAAGATACAAGTAAACAACAACAGGTGAATATAACTTCACTCCATTACAAAAGCAGGTGGCTATCAGAACTCAGTAGCTAAGTGGATAACGCGATCGTGTTTGAAGCGAACAGTACTGGTTTCGAGTCCCAGAGTAAACATCAACTTCGAGATGCAGGCACATCCAGTTGATGAGTCCCAAATAGGACGAAACGCGTGTCTAACTGGATTCCACTGCTAGCAACTATCTATCTTTGCTTATTAAGCTTGTGACTTCAAAGAAATATCGAGACAGTCTACACAGGATGAATATATGCCAACAAGAGACTGGTCAATTGCAGTACAAAATAACAATGGAAAGATACAAGTAAACAACAACAAGTGAATAAAATCTTGCTTTTATAGTTTTATAAATAAAGGAGTAGAAAAGGATTATTGTATTATAGTTGATGTCAGTTCCTGATATAAAAAACCCAACTTCTAATACTTAAACTTAACCTTTCTAAGTTTACCATGATAATATAATGTAACATTTAAGGGTTCATTCATCATATTCAAGCTAATTAACCACTGTTACTTCACTGTGTTTTGTTGTTGATTCTTTTAAAAGGAAACACTGTTTCCTGATTGACTAGTAAGTAGTTCGAAATCATTTGTGTAATATACCATTACCCTATTCTATAGTACATAGAGATGGGAAGAAAACGTAATAAAGTAAATTCATTTCATTATGAAAATGTTATCTTTCCTGTTCTACTAAAAATATGTGCAGAAAACCAATTCATATGTGTAGCTGTGTGTTACACTATATTCTAACATAATAGTTAAGAATGGTGTGTGGGCTACTTATATCGACACAAGTAGTATGTACCGTGAATCAGGAATAGAATATCTGGCAGTAGAAGATTAAGAAGATCGAGAAGGAAAGAAAAAGAAACAGAAGCCAATTGGTATAGAAATGCAGGAACAATGAAGTCTGCGAGAATTAATGGACATTTTGCAAATGAAATACTAGAGATTGGTAAGTCCTGGGTGCGAATCTCGCTTGTGAGGCGGGGTCATGGATGTGCACTGCCACTGAGGAGTCCCATAATAGGACGAAACAGCCTTAAAGCAGTGCTTCCAGGTTCTTTTCCATGGTGGTCTAGCTTCAATTGACTCATGATTTCAACTATGAAAATACTGAAATCTCAACAAAACTCCATCTAACTTTGTAGTTTTGTGTAAGCGACAATCGGTTGTTCTCACCTGTGTTCTCATTCACTAAAAGAATACTATTAGATTGGATCTTTAACTCTGTAGTTCAATATCAAGTTTTTCAATTACAAATTATTCGTTACCCCTTATCTCGGTATATCATAGGTAAGATACCCATGCCATACCTACTTCAGTTTTCATAATTTGGTAGTATCCACATCCATATAACATAAAGTGTAACCCAATGTCGTGTACTTGAATGTTTAGTTACATTATATTATTAAACTGACTCCGATTATAAGAACTTGCGACCTTTTTCATGAACTCAATAAATAAATGACCTTAGAATCTAATATAATACTGTCTAGCAGTTTAAAGATCCCCATGGAATACTGTCTAGGTCAGAGTTTTACCGCTTCTCAAAATCACTGATATTAACCTTTCACCTAAATGCTACTTTGTATTACATTTGACATCCTTTTTCAGGATAGTTTATCAAAGGGTTCAAATTTCAGTAAAAAGTCTTCAGTTTCATTGTTCGAATACATAATGCTTTGAAATTACTAATGAAGATTAGTTAATAATGTCAATAAAATATTGACCATAATAATCATTTGCTATGAACATAGAGAATGCTTAACTACTATAGTGACCATACCTTTTAAGCTTTACATGTATTTATAACTATTGTCACGCAATAGTATGCGACGTCTCAACATTACAATCTCATAAATTCATAAAGACTCGAAGCCAGGACTATTAATTACAAAGGGGAGTGTATTCCATTTGACCCATTTAAAGGTAAATCGAATGGCTTTAACTGTGTAAAACTTGATGGAAAATATATGAATGAATTTCTACTTAAGTGTTGGTAAATGACAATTCTATCTTGTTGATTTATTTGGTAATGTGTGCACGTAGTTTATATTCCTTATTAGGTGCTATACCTTGTTATTTTTTTTGAAAAGAGATATATATCAATTCAATTAATTAAACCTGATTACTCAAAGACAAGTTGATATTTTTAGTTGATAAGTATAGAGTTACTTTCACTGGATTAATGGAGATATAACAATCAAATAAGCGCCCCTGGGTTGTTTTTTTAAACGTAATTGTCTAACATGTATTAAAAATAGGATTAGTAGATCACTGGATTATAGATACTTTGGATCCGTTGGTCAGACACTATCAGCAACATTCTACTGTGGGACACAACAAACCAGATCTCATCCAGTGGAGGAAGAAATCAGGAAGAAGCACTGGAAAAGGATATGATACACATTGAGGAAATCACCTAACTGCGTCACAAAACAAGCCGTTACATGGAATCCTAAAGGTCAGATGAGAAGAGGAAGACCAAAGAACACATTATGCCGAGAAACAGAGATAGATATGAGAAGAATGAACAAAAATGAGATAGAACTAGAAAGGAATGCCCAGAATAGAGTGGGTTGGAGAATGTTGGTCGGTGGCCTATGCACCATTGGGAGTAACAGGTGTACGTAAGTAAGCAGATTATGATTAGTAAAGACTGAATTCATAAGTTTGAGAATTGACAACATATGGCATATTTTTCAAATTATGCAATCAAATAACTTCGTATCTTGAATGTCTAAAGTGAAATTTGAGTAAATTCATAAAATATGAAAATGAATGAAACATAAAGTAATAACTTTGCACAACAATTAGATGATTTCTGAAACAAGATTTTCATTCATGATTCATATAAATTATACAATACTGATAAGTCTTGGTTATTGTACACTATATTCGAATCCTAAGCTGGTTTCGTAACCCCCAAGCTAGAACTACTCAGCGACTTGAACACGAGAGAAAAAGTGCAAAATATACGAGGAGTACTTTACTCCAAAAGTTTATATATGTACAGAAAATATAGGGTATTTATAGTATTTTAGAAGTCCTTGGGTTTTCCTGAAAATTCTGGAATGCTACTAAACATAGTAGCAGCATAATAATCAGTCAATCAGAGACTGTACACATGACTTTTCACTTACACGATGTTCCTAGCAAACCTTCTAGTCAAACGTTGATTGAATAAAATGCTTCTTAATGTTCCCTTACCTTTTTTTGTCTATCACAAAGAATTTTCTGCATCACCTTGACAAATACAATAATAGAACCTCCATAAATATGAAAAAATCAATACTCTATATGAAAATTTACACCAAACAAAAAACTCAAAACAAAAAAAACAACAACTAAACTTACCATTTTGATTAATTCTTACACGACTTTGTGATACATCTAATAAACCATTTTTTCCATCATCTGCATTATTATATACATATAAATCTGGTGTCCATATAAATGATGATGGGATAACAAGATTTGTAAAATAATTTTTTAATTCTTCATTATTATGATTATAATTATTATTATATAATTGTAACATTTTTAATTTAATTGTTTGATCAATCCATTTTAATTGTATTAATAATGATGTAAATAATATTTGATTTTTTTCATCTAAATCAATAATTTGTTGTAAAATTAATTGAATAAATAATTGAATTGTTTCATTACCTAATTTAATTGGTCTACTAATAAATGATTCATTATTATGATTATGATTATGATTAAATAATTGTTTAATAATTAATTTTTCTGATAATTGATAACCAATACAATAATGATAAAATATAATCAATTGAATAATTAATAATTGATTAAATAATAATAATAATTTTAACATATTTATACAAAAAAAATGAATTAAATAAATAAATTAATTTAACTTTAGAAAAAAAAGTAATATTCAATGTTCAATTACATTGTCATTCTTGTTCATTTGTTTTTAAAAAAAATAATCACTGACAATTAACCAATCACAAAAGAGTTTCATAATAGTTTAATTTGATTGGTTCAATTATATTCTCATTTTTGGTTTATTTGTTGTTTTTTTTAAAATCAATAATAATTAACCAATCATAAAATAGATTTATTATACTTTAATGTGATTGGTTCATTCGGTTTACATTAAATAAAAAATGGTTTGTCTTGTTATTAGGATTATTGATTTTTGTTGTTATTATTATTATTATTCAAGAAAGTGGGAATTTCCTACAACAGCAGAAAAAAAATCAATAATGAGATTTTGTTTAATTTTGTAGTATGTGCAATAAAACGAAAAAAGAATTTACATTATCAGAAGGGGGCATTGTGGAGATTATAGTAATTTTATATAGTTGAAATCATGAGACAATTGAAGCTAGATCACTATGGAAAACCTAGAAGCGCTACTTTAAGGCCGTTTCAACCTATAGTATGAATCCTCAGCAGCACACATCCACGATCCCACAGTCACGAGAATCGAACCCAGGACCTATCAGTCTCGCGCACAAGCACTTAACCAATAGACCACTGAGCCGTCATTCATCGGTGTTAATGTCTAACTTCAATTAATTAATCACATAATGTTTTTCTTAAAATATTAAAGAAGAAGGGGTGAGGGGGAAATGTGATGAAACTATAATTTATGAATGACCTTTGAGCAATGCCAGATTGACCTTCATAGTGTCCAGCTAATAATCAGGAATTTTTGTAGTTAAAATCATGAATCAATTAAACCTAGACCACCATGGAAAACCTCGAAGCACTGGACGACCGTTTCGTTTTCTTGTGAGACTCCTTAGAAGTGCACATCCACAATACCGTCTCGCGAGATTTGAACCCAGGATCTATCATTCTGGTGCGCAAACACTTAACCTCTAGACCACTGAACCGACATTCAGCGGTGTTAATGTCCAACTTCAATCAATCCATGAAATTGAGAAAACGTCCACCATTGTCTTCAGTGAGTTACTATCTCACAACAGACCTGGTTGAACTTCACTGGTCACTGCTTCTCACTAGAACTTTAGGAAATATCTCTTGAAGTCAGTCACTAGTGAGCAAATAATTATTATCAGGGATTTTTTTCTTGGACATTTTTAGTAATTTTATAGTTGAAATGAGGGTTATAAACCTGTCTGAAGCGTTAGAATTATGATTTACAGTTGATGTTGAGGTTAAGAATTAGATTCATAGTTTTCATGACGAACTCAAATCAGCTATAATGCCGAAACTCTTCTTAGATAAATGGATGAATGAATTTCGTAGCAAAATCCGAGACCTTTTATCTTATATGTGATTGGTTCGTCCATAAATTATAGTCTCGCCGGCAATGTTTATTACAAGATAATTCCTTGCTTTTTTTTTTACTTACTTACTCATATTACGTATTATTGTGAATCCTGTAAAATAAAACCTTCAAAGCCTCGATTTAGTTATTAATTGAACAGACTATACAAAATCATGATTGACTGGTAGGTCCTGGGTTCGAAAGTCATGATTGTTTATATACCAATAGGTTATTTTAAGTTGATATTTCTTCATTGTACGTATTTGTGTTTTGTGAAAGATTAGCGTGAATTTGTCAAAAGTTTTCTTTCTTGAAGAAAACGTTTCATTGTTAAAGACCTCCAAACAGTTTGAGCGAATCCACATAAAACAATTTAAGGAAAGGTATATAATCAATTCATTTCTGTCCCTTGTAGAGTTGAGCTTCATATAGATGTTATCTTTGTTTAATTTAATCTATGGAGGAAATTGTATTTCCGTCCCCCCCAGCTATTAATTCACCCGTATTGGTCAGAGGTCACTAAAATGTGGGAGCCCCAAAATGTTCTAGTACCACCGAGGGTGGGAAAAGTCTACTCTCCCACTCCAAATGCTTTCACATGACTACATGCATACAACCACTGCCATCCTGCAGCATTTCTGTTGTCAACGAAATTGAGAGATCGGAAAGAGAATGTCTGGCGCTTCAAACGGGTTGGTGAACATGGACAGTCCATTTAGAGGAGTTGGAAAATCCTGATTCCAAACCAATGATGTACATCGGCTCCAGGCTCCTAAAGGAATCTTGTAGCTTGATAATGGAGCTGCTGAATAAGATGATTGAAAACAATATGGTGAATGGGTTATTGAAATTCTTTGAGATTACAATTACAGATCCACCTACTTGACAATGGATAACAAGCTTGTAATCTTGCATAGGACGAGCCCTCAATAGTGCACATGGACTCCAGTATCCTGAAGGAACAAATGGCGAATGAATCACTCGTTGGTCACCGGCTACCGTGGGACTGCATCTCCTCACGATGCTTCACTGCCTTTTGGATCAGATCTTGAGGTCAAAGGCTCCGGGTGTGGCCTCCTAAGAAAACTACCTGCCTCAGTTTAGGCACCTGGGCAGTATCACAGCCGTCACACAAATCGAATAAGATTTGTGAGGCGCATATGTATCTGGTGCTTCCTTGTACCAATATTTATATGTTTAAATAAATAAATAAATATTTTTGCTGAGTTGTAGTCGTGTAACTGATGTATATTGTTTTCAGTCATTATTTCTAAACGATTTATTAGCTCGGTGTCAGTCAGTCAATCACAACATAGAACTTCGTACGTACGTACATCAGTTCGAGTTGCCATAACAAATTAGCACAGAGATAAAATTGTCGATTCAAATCCCATAGTGGTAGAAGTAGTAAGAGTATAAGCAGTAATGTGAAAGACTAGGGTTTGAAGATGTTACCAAAGAAGTATAATACAGTGAAATAAATTTGGAAAGAGAAAAAGGGTTGGGACATGAAAAATTCAGAAAGTTATAATTTGGTAGAACACAAAGAATGGATGCACCTTCACCATTGCAAACGATTTTGAGCCATGTCATTGGCTCGGTATATTCATTTGTTATTAGGTAGAAGTAGCTAGTTAGATCAACAGAACTAAGGATTTTCAGGCAATACTTCACGGTCATTGTTTCATTGATCAAATAGGTCATTAATCAGTTAAGCGTCAGGGAATTCGTATTTAGTGGATTCCAGAACTATGTGACTTAATCAAGTTGGCAATATCGCAAACATATGAATTTGTGAAGTCATTCGATTGAAATGAGAAAAGACAACAAGTTTATATACTGAATTGTTTCTACAAAACCATATGATTGAAATTCAAAAAAAATTTGTCTCGTGATGGAGCGTACAAACACTAGGAATAATCCACGACGCGGGTTTCGTTCTATTTGGGACTCGTCAGCTGGATGTACCTGCATCTGAGTTGATGCTCACTATGGGACTCGAACCCAGTACCTTCCGCTTCAACCACCATCGCACTATCAAATTAGCGATTGAGTCTTGACAGCCACTTGTTTGTGCGATGGGGTGTCCTAAAACTCAATTGGAAGATTCAAACAAACAATACCAAGTGAATTCAAACTTCCCCCCATTGCACAAGCAAGTGGCTATCAAGACTCAGTAGCTGAGTCGATAACGCGATTGCATTTGAAGCGATAAGTACCGGGTTCAAGTCCCAGAGTGAACATCAACTCTGAGATGCAGTCACATCCAGGTGACGAATCCCAAACAGGACGAAAAGCACGTCCTGGATTCCACTGCTAGCCACTGTCCATCTTTGCTGATAATACTAGGAATAATCTCTCGATAAGTGCGTTGATCGGTTCACGTTTGATAAAACATGTGATATTGTGTGCTTGGTGCGAGATGAAATGTTCCGGGATTCGAATGAGCATGGATGAGAATGAATGTTCAAATGAATAATATCCATGGCAAAAATTGTATCTTGAATTTAAAAATTGTCCTTAACCAGGGCTCTACAGAAACGCATATGAATGATTGATTGATTCATGGGTAGTATTCATTACAGTTGATTTCTTTGAAAACCAAGAAATACTGGACAGATCATTCGTGCTCGTATGGAACTCTCTAGAAGTACACAACTCTTAGATTCCAATCCAATGATTCTAATGGTTATAAGTTCCGTGCGTAACATGAAAGTCCTGGGAATGATTCCTAATGAAATCATGAGCGTGCGCTATTGAGGAAGTAATACTAGAGCAAAACCGGTATCCCATGGTCCCTGGCTTTTAATGGTACCTCTACTGAAATCAATCTGTAGTAAATCTAATCCATAAATTAAACTCATATTCAAAAAATTCGTTCAACTGACAGTTCTTTAAAGTTGATGTCGAAATTTCAGAGTAAAATCTGAAGAATTTTGATATGCCTAACTGTTTATAAAGAAAAATAATCAGCTGAAACATTTAAAATAATCTTAAATCTAGCTGCTCCCAGTGGAAATAAGGTATGTTTATTTATTTATTTAAACACATAAATATTGGTACAATGAAGCACCAGATAAATATGCGCCTCACAAATCTCATTCGATTTGTGTGACGGCTGTGATACTGCCCAGGTGCCTAAACTGAGGCAGGTAGTTTTCTTAGGAGGCCACACCCGGAGCCTTTGACCTCAAGATCTGATCCAAAAGGCAGTGAAGCATCGTGAGGAGATGCAGTCTCATGGTAGCCGGTGACCAACGAGTGATTCATACGCCATTCGTTCCTTCAGGATACTGGAGCCCATGTGCACCATTGGTTTGGAATCAGGGTTTCCCAAATCCCCTAGGTGGACTCACCTTGTCCACCAACCCGGTTAAAGCGCCGGACATTCGCTTTTCGTCCTCTCACTTTTGTGAACAACACCCCCGCCACGAGAAGGCAGTGAGTAGGACTTCCCTGGCAGAGGCTATATATTCGCTGGCCGTATGAGAGCATTTGGAGAGGGAGAACGGGCTCTCCTCACTCTCGGCCGTACCAGGGCATTTGGGGGCCAATAAGGAAATAAGGTATGACTATACCTCTAATTTGAACCGTTTATCCGAAAAGTGATAACTTCCTTTCGATATCTATTGGAT